TCACACCTGTGGTTAAAAAAGTATCTTTAGAAAACATGTATGTCAGACTTTCTGAACATTTCAGTTCTGGTTCCAATTCCACTCTCAGGAACTGGGAATGGGATTCAATGATAATATAGCACACCCTCACTCCACTGTAAGATGATAATCAGACTCCCAGACTTGGGACTGGTCCCACGAAAAACATCAACACCCAACTTCTTATTTTATGGGTGTTAAGCATGTTTACAGATACCAAAAACAGCTCCATTGCAGTCTGTGACATTAGCCGCTTGCCCCATGGCACATACCAGTGAAATTAAAGCTTGACCAGAAAAAAAATTGTAATTTTTTCCAGAGGAGCCAGTAAAGTTTTAGACCCCAAAGGCAAGTAGGCTACAAATATTTTATCACAGACTGTTGCTTATATTGGTCTTTGCCTCCATTTTGAGTTAATTTGGAATAACATATTCCATGATTCCAAATGACTCTATCCCACTGGTGTTTATATCACACGTATAAGATGTGGTCCAAAATGTTTTTAGTTCTGCCATGACTGTGCTACATGTAAGAATCAACCATGACTTGTAGCTTGTGAGTGAGAAACAGGCAGCGGCCTCCTGAACAGCAAAATGTGAGGCTCTGGAAAAAACAGTTATCACTTTTATTTACAATTTTGTCTTGGTACATTTTCAACTTAAAAGATGCCTCATGTACACAATTTCTGTTGAGTTACAATTTTATTAGTATAATTCACAGTGCACAGGATTAGAATCAATATAAATTTCTAGACTGGTGTCAGAGTTACAATAGATACTCTTTACATTAGCACTTTATTACTGGCTGCCCAAGTTTTACTTACATGTACAACAGAATTGTTTTTTAAAGATAATAAAGCAAATGCATCTAAAAACTGATATCAGTGCAAGAAGATATATCTACCAGTGCTAAGGACCTACCAGGACTATGAGCCATATAATGTACCCATCCTGGAGACTGCTGTACTCCTATATTTCTCCATTCTGTCTCTGTCATTAAATGAGTCTTAGGAACCATCTCTGCAATGTCACTTGGCAAGATAACATGTCTGAAAAGATTGATTCAGTTTAAAAGTTTAACAAAAGGCAAAAATCACTTAGAAAGCTGGCAATTCAACATAAGCTTTATTCATTTACTAGTTAACATTTTTTCAAAGAAAATGCAAATTAATGAATGATAATAATAATAGATAAATAAATAAATTATAAAGACAAATGGTCAAGAATGATATGACCAGTATAATACATTATACATTTTATTAAGAGAATAAACTTGTTTTTAGTATCGACTGAAGTTTATGAAATGGTTAAAAAAAACCTGCGTGTGTCGTTTCAGTTTATTCTGGAGATCACTGATGCCTTACCTGTACTCGTATTTATCATCAAAGTACTTTTCAGAGTATTGGATTTCAGAAGCTGGCATTGTCCCAATGTTGTTGTCAATATATCTAACAGTATCCTTATCTGGAAAGTGAGATTTACACTTTTAAGCAGGGAATCACGTAATACATATTTTCATCACCCAGGGTAAATTAAATATCACAAGCCTGCTGCAGTGCCTCGCCAAATAATTAGCCAATTTCTGGGCGCCACACTTTTCTCGAGAGAAGCTACTGTAGTCAAAGTCAATTCTAAAGCTGCAAGAAAAAATAACGCTTATCTTGAAAACAGACGAATTTAAACATTGACACCTCCAATTTCCTCTCTCTGAATGCATTAGACTAAAAATAGAAGAATCTGTCCCAGTAAAATACCTGTGAATGAATCTTCCAGGTAAATTCACCTGTCTCTGATTTCTAATCTGGCGGATCTCGTTCAATACGGTAACTCACGAGAGGTCAGAAAAGGTCAAAGCATTCAAGATGGCGATGCTCTTCAGGTGACCTTCGTTTGCTTCTTATTTTTCATAACATTGGTTATATATTTGCTTTTTGCATTTAAAAAGAATGCCGATTTGTGAAAATGCGTTATTCAATCTTTTTGTTTAAAACTTAACTTTATAATGACATTGTCAAATGTCAAATATTCGTTTAGAGAGGTGAAAATTATTACGAAACAGCCAAGCGGTGAGCTCAGTTGTAGCACATTATGCATTTATTTTCGCTACATTTACGTCGTTGATTTTCTGCTGATTTTAGGGTAGCAGGTAGGCATTATGGCCTCCTGTCATCCAAGCAGGTGTCCAGTCCCATCATGTCTAAACTGTGAGTACTATTATATTGTCCAGGCATTTCTAGTCTGTAGACTCGAGCCTTGAAATTCCTATTTACATGTATTAACTGAGGTTGCTGTATTCAGTAATTTTAGGGCTTAACACGTTTGAAATTGTGTTCTTTATAGATCTGGGGATTTGGTAGGTTAGTAGGTAATATAATGACAATCAAGGCTTGCTAATCTCAGTCTCCCTTCTCAGACAAAACATTGCTTTTAAAACAAAGGTTTTTGACCCTGATCAGTGATAGTGAGACTCTTAAAGTACATTTGTTTTTTTTTCTTTTCTTCCTTTTATAAATATATATATATATGTATATATCCAGAGTCCCCATGGCATCTGTGAAAGCCCTGACTACTAAACCTCCAAAGACTATCCAAGAGGTGGCCCAAGGTGAAATGCTCGATTTCTGGAAGAAAAATGAAACTTTGAAGAGACCCATTTCTCCACATCTTACCATTTGGCGGTGAGTGACACTTAAACCAGTGGCAGAAAAATGTCACTAGTATCTCAGTAGCTTCAAACACTTCATGCAGGGTCTCTCTCTTTCTCTCTGTCTGTAACATGCATCCACACACGCACCCACTCATATGCTCACAGTGTGTACATTACCAAATTTGTTGCTCTTAATCTTCCTTTGTCATGAAATAAACAAAATCTGAAATTCGGTGTATTATTGGAATTTGGGTATAAAAATCTGTTTGTAACTTTTATATGATCTGTATATTGTTCCCTTCCTTTCAGGAGCCAGCTGCCAATGACACTTTCATTTTTCCACAGATTCACTGGAGTTGCAATGATTTGTGGTGAGTTAGGATTACTTTTAGCTGATATTTATCTTCTTCAAACCCAAACACTTACCATGTTAAGTTTTGTAGCATTTCCTGGCAGGTAAGAACTGAATGAATATAAGTATTTGCTCTTCTCTGCCAAAGGGATAAACCTTTTTTGCATACTTTGCAAAAAGAAAAAAATTAAAACTTTCACATATTCAGATTTACTGTATTACTTTCATGACTTGTAATATCTCTTTTAGCAACCTATGTCTTTAGCTGGGTGATGCTGGCTTCCCCAGTGGATTATCAGTGGTACATCACCTTCCTTAAGGACCTCCATATAGATGGTTATGCAGTGGGCCCATCCTTTCTCTTTCTAGCCAAATTCATCATTGCTTTGCCATTTTGCTATCACTGCATCAATGGAGTCAGACATCTGGTAAGTAGGCTGTAGTATTATAACAGTGACAAGTGTTTTCAGGCACATGGATGGATATAATATATTGTTTAGTTCTAATTCAGAGATATACATTCCAACAGATGCATTTTATGGAACAGATTTTGCTCTTTGTTGTTAGCTGAAACATACTGAATCATGGTGTAATTCGTACAATTTCTCTGATGCTAATAAATCCTAGTAATGTGGCCCCAATTTTATGTGCTATCATAATCTGAGAAATTGACTCAACCCAATTTTTTCTGATGGAAACATTGTTTCTGTTTCAGGCCTGGGACCTGGGCAAGGGTTTTGATCTCCCCACTCTGTACAGAACTGGCTACTTTGTCTCTGTACTCTCCATTCTTGTTGCACTCTACCTGGCTTCACTGTCATTCAAGGCACCAGAGTAAACTGTCTTTATGTCCATAAAGGAAATAAACTGAAGATTTATAAACCTGTGCAGCTGGTTCATTTATGAGCTGTAACATATTGAAACACTGAAGAATAACGAGTAATCTTTTTTGTGTGTGTGTGTGGTGAAAAGAGACAATGATATGAAACACTGCAGCTAGTTATTTTGATAAAATTGAAGTTACTTGGCAATGTATATTTTATGTTATTTATATGTGAAGCTTGTACATTCATAGGACATGAATGTAAGGAAATAATATTTGTGTGCTGCTATTTTATTATGAAGTAACCGCCTTGAAGTAATTTCTTTATGATAATGATTCAACAAAGAAACCTGCTTCAAAAATGCTTCAAGGTTAACCTTAAAAGACCACCTTTAAAGGTGTCTCTTCTTTGATAGTTGAAAGATGTTATTATTAAGTAAATGTTAAAAAAAGCTTGCTTGGGTCCTTTGAAGTAAATCAAATAGCTGTATGCCTTTGGTTTAGCTTGTTTATAGTTTACGGTTTTCAGATATTCTGTAATAGGTGATCCTTGCTGGCTGTTACCTTGGTCAATAAATTCATGCTCAACGTGTTATAATGATAACGCTGCATTATATTACCATAATGCATTAAAAAAACTCTCAAAGATAACCAAGTATCTTTAAAAGATGTAATAAAATTTCTTTTTGCAGTTAATAGCATGCTACTCGATAAAGGTTATTTTGGAAAAGAAGACATCCTTGAGACAAACACGATTGGGTTTGGCATCCAGCGAGAGTTAACATGTTTATCTTACAATAAATGAAAAGTCAAATTATTTTCAGCTGTATCTTTCTCCCTGCTCTCAAAAGCCGCATCTCCTCAAATTCTACAAATTTGCCATCATACTAGCCAAGTTTTTCCAAATTATGACAACGTTTTTAACAAAATCGGACGTGTTCTTTTTATAGTGGTTGCAAATCCTATTCAATTATTTGCAAAGTTTTTAACGTAAGGTTGTTTTTATCGATCTGTCTGTGCAGTATTTGTCATTTGAAAACGTACAGCCGACAAATGCTTTGAATCGATAATTTTGACAAAATGTTTTATTAAAATGCTGGTACTCACAGTTGCCCAGTTTTTTAGTTGTCATAAAAAGAGGCGAGGATTAAAAAATAACCTAATGATTCATGAAACATTTTAGCAAGCTTGTAGGCATTTTGTTTGGGATAGCTTTGAAGTATATTTTAAATGGTCGCCAAATTCATTTTCGTAGCTAGTTTTTTATTGCACAAAAAATTAGTATTACAGAACCAAAAAAGAGAGACCGACAATTTATAAAACAATGAACACCAGATAGTCTTACAAGCAAAAACAATTCGGGTTTGCTCGTAAAGGCCTTTGAATCTTAACCACTTTTTCAGAGCGAGGATACGTCCAGTAGCTCTGGACGTCCTTGTCTGACGCGTTTCTCTACCAGAAAGTAGCTACGAAAGAACTTCAAATTAATACACAGAATAAGTCGGGAAATATTTGAAGATATCGAGTGAAAATTGTATTTGTGGCATTGGTACATGTACATCTGGTAGCTGGTCATCGGGGTAATCTGGCTCTTTGAACGAGTGCATTAAGAGACATTTCATCTAATATCAAATCTTAAAATATATGCTTTACGACCACATTCTAAAGATGAGATATTGCCTCAATACACAATACTTTATTGGGGTATTGTCCATTAATAGTAGGCTTGTTAAGGACCAAAAATTGGCCAAACGCTGCATTTTGTAGTACAAATGTCTAACTTGGCATAAATGTTCCTTGGGCCAAAAGAAAATTTTTTATCCAAAGAGACGCCCTCTATCAATGCATAAATTAGCATAAATTATGCAAATTAGGTGCCAAAATATATAATATTTCATATTTCCATTAATTTTTGGCCTAGAAATATGTACAGATTATCAAACCTGACTAAATAAGGGACAAGGAACCCATTTTTGATCATTTTGAAGCAATTGGTGGCCATTTTGTGCCTCAAATCCAAGATGGCCGCCACCCGCCATTTTGAAAGTGGACATAATTTTGTTATTTTATGTCGAATTATGAAGTGTTTGCTCTATATATACTTGATATATATATTAATTCCTACTATTTTGGGGGTGCAAAAGTCATTTTTGATATTGTTATAGTGATAGAAGGTGATTTGAAGGGACAAAGAGGGTGTTTTAAGTGCCCACCAAGATATGTGTGAACGCTGCGAAACCATGGATATTGATAACTCATATTCAAATATATCTCAGTGCAATTTTTTTGTTATATACTAATGATATTGGACTAAATTATGAGCACAAAAACTCATTTTTACTATTATGGAGGCCATTGGTGGCCGTTTTATCCCTCAAATCCAAGATGGCCGTCAAAAACCATTTTGTAATTGGGCATAATTCTCTATTTTGAAACTATATGTATAACACCTTTGTAAATGAGTAATACATCGTTTTATATTATTTTCTGGTATGAATACATTATCTGTTTCATAAAATGTGAATACAAACTATTTTATCATCCAAAATCAATATACGTGTAGGCTTAAGTTGTCACATAGACTTACATGTGCCATGTAGTCTAATTAGTACAAAATGTTTTATAAAATCCTTAATAGCTTGAAACAAGTTTAAGAGACCAAAATGGCTTAATTTAAGGTAAAGAACATATACTTGATGATTTTGAGACAATTGGTAGCCATTTTGATCCTCAAATCCAAGATGGCCGCCAGTCACAATTTTGAAATACTGGTAAGGCATAACTCATCAATTTGAAGTTATTGCTTTTACACTAGCATGTTATGCATCGTTTCTAATCATTTGGGTTGTAGATGTTTCTTATCTCTTGTGAGATATAATACAAAAAGATATTACAAGGCTCCAACACCAGTATAGGGTTACGTCTTCACCTTCGCTTGTGTACGCCTTGAAGTATAATTTTGGCAAAAATATGTTATATAACAATTTCAAAATGGTTTTGCAGACATAGATTAAGTGCAAGAGACCACTATGGCTGATTCGACTTTATAATGACTACTGTTAGCTATTCTTTTGTTCTTATCCAAGAGCCTATCGCTATTTTAAAATAATGGCATAATTTACCTTTTTTAGCCTGTTGGACTTTCATATAATCGTCATTCATCAATTGTTTCTATTTTGGAAGTACATAATTAATTTCTGGTGTTGTTCTGGTGACAGAGGATAATAAAAAACGCAAAAGGTGTTTTAAGATGATTCCAAGATGAATTTTCCTGAAGTTCCCATATGCTGTAGATGTTTTGTGCTCGTTCCTCCATTGGAAACAATGAGAACTCTGTAGTCGCCTTGTGGATTTCTGTTGGTAGTGAGATGACTTCTCTGGCCAAATCATGCTAGGAAGGATCACTGGCTCTGTCAACTAGAAAAGGAGGCTGCTTACTGGACTTTTTTTTTTGCATTATCCCTCTTGCCTACCTGCGCAGCTGTTGCTTCCTAGTTGGTTTTGTAGATTCCTTCCTTTGTGTAAAGACACCACTTTCCTCTCATGCGACGTTCCCAGGTAATGATATTTCTCTTTAAACTGAATTTTAATATATTGTTTGGCTGTTCCTCATAGGACACTGACAAAACTTAAATTCTTACTGGCTGTTGTCTTATTGGCCTACCAGAGCTGATCATGCACATTTCTTTTTGCTGTGCTGCTAGATGATTTTGCAAGATCTGGAGGTATTTCAAAGCAAAGTCCATTTGCTTGTCTTTCACGGGCATTTATGCATCAACACAACTAACCAAGTTTCATAGTATTACATGTATAAGACGACACATTTTTACCCTTCAAATCTTCTGGACTATGTTTAACATGCAAATGCAAGCCCCAGTGACTCCGACATAAATGTACATGTGGCTTTTTGTTTCACATTGACCAGTAAAAGATTAAAAATATAATACCACTATGCATATATATTTATTGCTTGCCTTTAAATTATTCAGTATCTTTTAGTGGATGGTCACTTAAGGTAAATCTAGATGATATATTTGAGCATGTGGTTGGGGTTCCACATTTTTATAATAGACTCAACGAAACCCATCTTGGAATTTATTTTACAACCTTATAGTACCTTTTTTATTATCTTCCGTCCCCAAATTAGCACCGAAAAATTCATTTTGAGCCTCCAGAATAGTACCATTTTACCTAATACATGCGTATGAGGGTCCCACATTTCAAAGATTATAAATTACACCAAATTATTAAAATAGCGGCATGCAACCAACACTTGGTTTTGATCAAAATAATGGCCAACAATTTTCCTCGTGCGGTCAAAGATGTAGTCTTTTGCTTTAATTCAGTCATTTTGTTTGCTGACACTTGTTTTATACATCGGGCAAAATCCTTAAAATATGTAATTAAAGCACATAATTTTGTACTAATTAGGTTACTTATTGTACATACAAACTGCAGGCCCATGTGACCACTGAATCCTATATTTATTTGGAGCCTTATAAAAGTTTCTATTTACATTTTATGAAACCGAAAATGCATTCTGCACCAGAAAATAATCAAAAATTGATGTATGGCATGCTTATGAAGGTGTGATCGTTTCAAAATGGTGAATAGTGCTCAATTTCAAAATGGCGGATGAAGGCCATCTTGGATTTGCAACACAAATTCTTTGAAACTGATAATGTATTTTGCACCAGAAAATAATATAAAACGATTTAATACTCATTTACAAAGATGTAATACATATAGTTTCAAAATAGCGAATTATGCTCAATTTCAAAATGGTTTTTGGCGGCCATCTTGGATTTGAGGGATAAAACAGCCACTAATGGCTTCCATAATGGTAAAAATTATTTTTTTGCTCACAATTTAGTCCAATTTCATTAGTATATAACAAAAAAATTGCACTGAGATATATTTGAATATTAGTTAACAATATCCATGGTTTCGCAGCGTTCACACATATCTTGATAGGCACTTAAAACACCCTCTTTGTCCCTTCAAATCACCTTCTATCACTATAACAATATCAAA